AGTAACTGGCTCTCAATATAGAACGTGTTTGCTGATCTGTTAAGAATTGTGATTATTCTGTGCCTGGCGGCATGGCCTAGCAGCTAAAGTCCTCGCCTTGAACGTTCCGGGATCCTGGGATCCCATATGGGCGCCGGTTCTAATCCCAGCAGCTCCACTTCCCATCCAGCCCCCTGCTTGTGCCCTGGTAAAGCAGTAGAGGACAGCCCAAAGCCTTGGGACCCTGCACCCATGTGGGAGACCCGGAAGAAGTTCCTGGATCCTGGCTTCAGATCAGCATAGCATCGGCCGTTGCGCTCACTTGGGGAGTGAATCATCAGACGGATGATCTTCCTCTTTGTCTCTCCTCCTCTCTGTATCTCTGACTTTCCAATAAAATAAATAAATCTTTTAAAAAAAAAAAAAGAATTGTGATCATTCTAACATAATGAAAGAGAAGTGACCACAACAGAAATTAGTTCTTCCATGACCATGACCATCACCGTGGTGCAGTGAGTTACACCAACATCTGCAGTGTAGGCATTCCACACGGGTGGTGGTTCAAGTCCTGGCTGTTCCACTTCCAATTCTGCTCCCTGTAGAAGATGGCCCAGGTCTGTGTGCTCCTGCACCCACATGGGAGACAAGGGGAAGTCCCTGGCTCCTGGCTCTAGGAAGCCTGTCCCAGCCCCAGCAATTATGGCTATTTAGGGAGTAAATCAACAGAGAAGACAGAGCTCTTCTGTCTGTAACTCTTTTAGGATTTATTCATTTGAAAGAAAGAAATCAATTCTTCCATATTTAAGACTGAAGATACTTTAAAGGATGGACCATCCAAGTATCCTCCAACTATCTTAAAGTCCTAGCAACAAATGTTAACACACAGCATAATCAACAGAGATTGAGGAGATGGGCAGTAATATCATTCTGCTGCATCTCACAGTCGCTGCACACCAGGATTTAGGGTGTCTCTCACTCTTTTGGTGGTCGTTATAAATGACTCAAAAATTCTGGTTGAATTTCTTAAACATGAGGTTCAAAGTTGCAAACAACAGGTTAAACCACCACTTGCAATGCCACCAACATGCCACATTAGAGAGGACATTTGAATCCCAGATATTTCACTTCCCATTCAGCTCCTGCTAATGTACCTGGAAAGGCAATGAAGATGGCCCAAATACTTGGGCCCTTGCACCATGGGAATTTGCGGCTCCTGCTTCTGAGAAAACCAATGGATGGAAGCACACTCTGTGTCTCTCTTTCACTCTGGCTTGCAAATAAATCAAAATCTTTTTTTTTTAAATATGAAAGACATAAAACATGACGGGTAGGACTGGCACAATAGCATAGCGGCCAAAGTCCTCGCCTTGTATGCACCAGGATCCCACATGGGTGCCAATTCTAATCCCGGCAGCTCCACTTCCCATCCAGCCCCCTGCTTGTGCCCTGGTAAAGCAGTAGAGGACAGCCCAAAGTCTTGGACCATGCACCCATGTGGGAGACCCAGAAGAAGTTCCTAGCTCCTGGCTTCAGATTGACTCAGCTCTGGCCGCTTCAGTCACTTAAGGAATGAATCATCCGATGGAAGATCTTCCTCTTTGTCTCTCCTCTTCTCTGTATACTTGACTTTTCAATAAAAATAAATAAATCTTTAAAAAAAATAACATGACTGGTGATCTGTAGCCAATCAAAAGCCTTTAATAAATACTTCTGCCCTTCAGCATGCCTTTTTTCACCCAAAGTTCCTAATATCAAGTTGATACCTCTCTCTGTGTGCTAGCCAAGTTGGTTAAAGCAGATACAAGTGACAACTCTCATAGGGCAGAGGATGCATATACTGTTTACTTTGTACAAATTAACCAGCACTAGACATGTAGACACATTGGAGGTACTCTATAACTAAGCACAGTACTTGGCCTCCCAGATCCTAAAATCTCCCCTTACAAAAGGATAAAACCAAAATGCCTCCATTGAGCACCCAGAGCCTTTTGTGAATAGGTGCTTCTTCTCTGCTTATCTGTGAAAATTACTAGGCTCTTGTCTGTGGTATATCCCTGTATCTCCTCAAATTTTTCACACTCATCAAATTCCACCTATTATTTCTAATCAAGTTTAAGTGCCTCCTTTGGCAAAACTTCCTAGATGACTCCAAACCTCATAACATTTCCTTCCTTTGAGGCTCTGTACCCTTCAGTGCGGCACTGCCCAGTAAAACTTCCTATGATAATGGAAACATTCTACAACACACGTTGTAAATAAATAGCAGTTAGCTTGCTGTGTGGTACAGGGCAATGCCCTCACCACCTCCTTGTTGACAATGGTATGTTGCATCAGATGTTAAAAGCATTTATGAAGTAACACCCTGCAGACTGCATATTCTATGAAAAGGACACGCCTTATTCCTCATAGCAACTTCCACTCAGTTGAAAAATGTAAATTATTTCTTGATTTGGACACATATGCTAAAAAGGTGCTGTTATCGGAATGATGATCAACACTTCAGCCCTATTTCACTGCTGAATGGCAAGAAACACAACAGCAGGAAGCAGAGAGCAACTTTTGGAAACTCAAATGACCACTGATCAGGCCACAAGGCCCTCAGCTTTAAATTCCATTTAGGTCATGACTGTCCTTCACCTAAAACTCACCTAAATAAACATTTTCACTGATGGTAAATGATGCTAACTAAGGATAGTTAATTATTTCCCAGGTCAGAATTAGCAGTCAGACAAGAAAGCAAGCCATGCCAGCCCTCTGTATACGTGGGAAGACACAGTCCCCTTGGCATCTTTCAACCTACTGGGGACATTTCACTGTTACGTTATACTGGCCCTAACAGTTCCCACACACTTAAAAACCAAGACAGAACATTTCGGCACTGTCAATCCAAACAGCACAAAACATACAAAGACCTAAGTTCCATCATTATGGTACTGACTGCCTTCAGTACGTGGTCCCCTTGGTTTCAACGAGTTAAGGGCGTATGACCCACCTTCCTCTAAAACCACTTGTGATCAAGTCAGAACTGTGGTTCTTCTCCCCACATGAATGAAATATAAAAACAAAAGATTTATGAATGTATCAATGGCTCCTTGTGGCGAGTTTGCTCACAGGTCAACTCTCCAACATTAACGCCTATTTTTTTTTTAATCCCAAATTTCTTTCTCCCATACTACTACTATACAAATAGCTAAGCAAAAATTCTGCTAGTCTGGCACATGTTGTCAGGAACTCAACATGCCGATTCAGGCAACACAGACATATTTAACACAAAATGAAATTTTTAAAAAATTGGCTGAGCCAAGTCATAATACACTCTAACTCTTACATACAAGGTATCTTGAAAAAGTTCCTGGAAAATTCATATTATGACAAAACTATAGATTTCAACTTTTCCACATCAAAACAAACTCATCTTCTAATTCATTTTCCTGTGAACTTTTTGCAACACCTCATACAAATAAAAAACTAAGATGACTGCTGTTTTGACTTATTCAAACCAATGCTCTAGCAACACAGCCAGTCAAAAAAGTCACAACAAAGAGTCAGGACTGGGAGTTCGATGCAGAGCCACTTGGGACACCTGTTTCCACTGTCAACGTGCCTTGCCCCTCCACAGCCACGCAGCTTCCTGCCAATGTGCACTCCAGGAAGCGGCACAATTCAAGCCCTTGGGTCCCTGCCACCCCTGGGGGAAGACCTGGATTGAGTTCTGTGCTCCTGGCTAGAGCCCTGACTGTTAGGAACATTTGTGGAAACAAACCAGCAGATGGAGGCTCCCCTCTGGCTTTGAAATAAAATGAAAATAAATCTTAAAATGTTTTTAAAGCTGACAACCCATAACAGAATAAATAAACCCTTTAATAACAACCAACAGGTGCAAACAATCGACATTTTTAATAAGAAAAAAAAAAAAAAACAAGCACTGTGTCAACAAACACACAACCACCTACTGGATACAACACAGCGATGTGTAAGGAACAGAAAAAGCAACCCTGGGAGGAAGGTGGGGTGGGGAGAACGGTTTGAATGTGGCCACCTTAAGAGCAACCACACCCCCCAAGCCAGGTAAGGTCTGTACACAGAGCTCTGCCAAGGCCAGTCCGTCTTTGTTTCTCTGTTCTGCATTTACCCAAGATCTTGGCTCCGGGACAGAAAACTCCCACTCTCGATTGGTTCATTCTGTCCTGTGCAATTAAGCAACACCACAATCCAGTAAATGTGATGGCTCAACGATTTATCTTCTAGCTGAGTTTACCAGGTGTTTCCCAAAGAACAATGTCAAGAAAAGAGGGGCATTTCTCGCTAGCGCCGGTTTGGTGGCTATTTTTATTTGAGGGGAGGGGGAGTTGTCTTTTTTAAATTGTATTTTTATTTTGTAAGGGCAGGTGGGCCTAACCCAGGAAAAGATAGAAGGAAATTAAGAAAGAATTCAAGTCTGTCATTTCCCTACAGGAAACTTGATTATTAAGCAATAATCCTCCCAACAACCCGGTCGTCCGTCTGGGGTGTCAGGGGCGGCGGGGGAGACTCCTACCTCCACCGGGGATCCACGGGCCCCCCAGGAGACCAGCAGCGCCTGGCGGAGGAAGTGGCTCAGCCTTCCCAGTCACCAGCCCCCCTCCGAGATCGCCGCTGGCGTGACAGGCGCTCCGGGGGCCGGAATGTCCCCAGAGCCCAGGGCGCAGGAAGTCGGGGGGTGGCGGGGACGCCCTCGCTCGTGCCTCGCTCGCCCTCGAGCCGCGGGCCGCCCCCTCGAGCTCGCGCTGCCCATCCTCCGCGTCGCCCCTTGCTGCCAAGAACGAAACTTAACTTCCAGCGCCCCCTTGTTCCCGCCCAGGCCCGCTCCTGTCATCCCGGGGAGTCGTCCCTGCACGGCGACCTGCCGCGTCTCGTCACGTCCCCCAACCCCAGCGGGTGTCGGTTCACGGCGCCCCCGCAAACGCTCCGGACGCCTCCCCGACCCCCGAGCCCCCCGGGGGCCGCGGCGGGGAGCCGGCCCCACCCTTCACCCCCTTCACCTGTTTCTCGGGCTCAGGCCCGACAGGCCGGGGCTGCGCTAGCGCCGGGGTGCGGGCGGCCGGGCTCCCTCACGCCGCCGGGTCGCTCTGCTCCAGCCGAGGAGGAGAGACGGGGCCGAGTAGGGTGCTCTTCAAGGATCCGGTTGGGGCTCCTTCCCTCGGCTGCGACGTCGGAACCCCAGACTCCCCCTCCCCGTCTACACCTCCCCAGCTCCGGAAACCGCTGAATTACAGCCCCTTCAGCCAATCCCCGCCCAGCCCTCGCCTGGCCAAGGCACTCCTTTTATGCATAATTCATGAGACAGCCAACTGGCTGAGCCACCCAGAGGCCGCGGCGCGAGGGCTGTGCAGGCGAAGCCCCGCCTACTGACCAATGAGGAGAGCCTCCGGGAGAAAGGGCGGGGTCAAGAGGAGGCTTGGGACGGCCCCGTGGTGGCTGTTCCGAGGTCCTGCGCTCCTCCCGCCGCGGCGGCAGAGGAAGAGCTGAGGCCTTGGGCACAGCGGCCCGGAGGGAGGGAGGCGAGCTGAACGGAATGGCCTGCTGAAAACTCAGCTGAGTTCCTGGCAGTGCGTGACGTCAAGACACTTTAAATGCCCCTGATACGCGGCTCCCTCCTGCCCGCTCTCCCTTTTCCCGGCCCTTGGCACCACGTGGGAGCGAGGTTGAGAGGTTCGCACCACGTGGGGCTCACCCCGTTAGTGCCCGGGTAGCCCCGGGGGTCCCGTCCTGAACTGGTTTCCTGGGGGACAGGAAGACGGACAGGGGTGACTCTTGCCTGCGCAGAACCTCGGTTTCTGCGTGAAATGGGGCACACACACCCGGAAACATGACGTGGAAATACATTAATTACTAGACTGCGTGGGAGACGCTGGTAGATTTAACCCTGCCTTCGGTCCCGTCCCTTCAAGCCTCAGACAGCGACCGCCAGCCCAGGGGCCGGGGCACTCGCTGCGGGGACTGTGTGTGCAGACCGACACTGTCTTGACATTTCTCATGCCCTGAGTAGAAATGCTTGCTGTCGTCTGCCGCTAGATTTTTCCACCTTGTCTATGCAGATATTGCCAAAGACGTTCCCTCATAGGAAATGAACACATTTTGCCTTACATAATAGGCTGAACTTTGCATAATGGAGGGATGGCTGTGTGCTTGATACCATCAGCTAAAAAAAAGCAAAAACACACACCCAAAAACCAAGGAAATATTAGCTATCAATATTTGCTTAACACAGATAAAGATAAAATTAAAAAGGCCCTCCATCTCCCCCATCCAGAAAGCCCATAATGATATCTTTTTAATTTTTTTCAGTGAAATTAAGGTAATGCATGTTCAGGGTTAGAAAACTCAATTTAGAAAATTTTAAATGAAAACTCTCAGCTCCTTGCCTCCACCTGTCTTCCCTGATGATAGCCATTCTTATTAATTTCTGGTGAGAAAATCAATGCCTTTAATCTGTGGAGGGCCAAGGATCAAAGCTGGTGCAGACCCTGCCCCTCCCCCCCCCCCAGAAGCACACAGCACAGGCACGTCCCCAGAGATCCCTGGAGTTTGCCCAAAGACTACCTGCCAACTTCTGGGGTCCCATGGTGTTCCAGGGCATCATCTGAGTGAGAAGTACTGGGACTTGAAAACTGAGGAGGCGTGGAACTGCTTACTTGTATAAACAGTGTAGGTGGGGCCAGGCCGTGGTATGGTGCACTAAGCCTCAGCTTCCAATACAGGTGTCAGGTTCATGTCCTGGCTGATCCACTTCCCATTCAGTTCCCTGCTTATGGTCCAAAGCCTTAGGACTTGTAGCCACAGGGGAGACTGAGAGGAAGCTCTTGACTCCTCGCTTTACATGGACCCAGCTCTGGCCATTGTGGCCATTTGGGGGCGTACTTCACCACAGGCTTATACTCATCACCCCCCCAAACCCACTCTTCCCCAGGCAATCCCGGGAAGAACTCTGCTTCCTGATCACATAGAACCCAATAGTTTCTCCATCGACTTCCTACTTGCCGAGCACCCATATGCTTTTGTCTCTTGCTGGTCACGCGGAGCAGATAGTGAGGCTGCCTCACCAGCTGCTGCCGGACAAGGAAGGCCCAGAGACACTCATTGATACCCTAGCTGGGTTCAGGTTGTTGAATGCCCCATCCCACAGCACATCTGTGTTCCACCCTGACACACCGACTGCATGGTAGCCACAGTAGCCTTGCCTCAACTGCCCCTAAAATCTACCAGAGCCTACCCATTAAAGGGACACACACCCTCTTAGTCCCCAGCCCTTCTCCCCACCACATGCTGAGATCCCCACTGGTGGAACACTGCAGCGTCTCCCGCTGGAGCCAAGGTCCTGGCTGCTTCAGTCTTCTCACTCCGAAGCTACTAGAGTAATCATCCCCAAAATGACATAAATATTTAAACATGGTACCACCTGTTTGGAAATCTGCACTGTTTTCTGACCTAATAGGATAAAACCCAAATCAAATAAAAAACACGGAACTTCGGAATTTCAAACATTGCCAGGCATGTGACAGGAGCTCCAGTGATGACCCCTCTCCTCTCAATTGACTCCTAAATCCTGCAGTCTCAACGGGAGCCGGGCATCCAGACTCAACCCACGCAACCTAAACATCCACGCGGGACTTCTGGCCTTCCCTTGAACACCTCAGTACCACCTGTGTCTTCACGCCCCTCTCGCTGTGTTTCCCTCCCCCCGGGACATGTTCTGTTTCCTCATTCCCCACTTGTAATCACCTACTCCTTCTTTGCCGCCTGGTCCCCACCTCACCTCCTTTGGACTTTCCCAAATTCTTCCAGGCAGTTCATGTCCTCTGCTAGAGTCAGAAGGAACCTAAAACAGCAATGAGCCCCCTTCCTTGTTAGCCTCCCTTCTTAGAAAGGAAAGAAATAATTAGCATTTATTAATTATTAACTTCTAGGAACTGTTCTGAGTGTTTTACACAGAGAATCTCATTTGCTGGAGAAAGTGGATATTATACTTCTCATGTTACAAGAAGGGAAACAGAGGCTGAGAAAATGAAAGGATGGGGCCTGGTACAATGGCTCCAGTGGCTAAATCCTCACCTTAAAAGCACTGGAATCCCATATGAGCACCACTTCATGTCCTGGCTGCTGTCCTTTCCATCCAGCTCCCTGCCTGTGCCTGGGAAAGCAGTCGAGGATGACCCAAAGCCGTGGGACCCTGCACACAGTGGGAGACCTGGAAGAAGCTCCTGGCTCCTGATCAGCTCAGCTTTCAGCCCAGCTCTGGCAATTGCAGCCACTTAGGGAGTAACCAGAGGATGGAAGATCTTTCTGTCTCTCCTTCTCTCTGTAAGTCGGATCTGCCTTTGCAATGGAAAGAAATAAATGTTAGGGGAAAAGAAAGAAAGAAAGAAAGAATGAAAGAAAGAAAGAAAGAGAGAGAGAGAGAGAGAGAGAGAGAGAGAGAGGGAGGGAAGGAAGGAAGGAAGAAAGAAAGAAAAGAAAAAGAAAAGAAAAGCAAGAACAAGAATAAGGGCCGGGCATGGTAGCCTAGTGGCTTAAGGGCTCCCCTTGCACACACCAGGATCCCATATGGGTGATGGTTCTTGTCCTGGCTGCTCCAGTTCCCATCCAGCTCCCTGCTTGTGGCCTGTGAAAGCGGTCAAGGACAGCTCAAAGCCTTTGGACCCTGCATCCACGTGAGATATCTGGAAGAAGCTCCTGGCTCCTGGCTTCAGATTAGCTCAGCTTCAGTCATCATGACCACTTGGGGAGTGAACCAACGGACAGAAGAACTTTGTCTTCCTCTCTGTAACATCTGCCTTTCCAATAAAAATAAATAAATCTAAAAAAAAAAAAAAAGAAAAAGAAAAAAGAACAAGAAGGAAATGGAATGCTGGATCTGAATGTCTAGGCTAAACCTCAGCTCCATTGCCAATTCTAACTGCTGCCAGTTTGCAGCCAGGATGGTAGCAAGTGATTGCTCAAGCAGCTGGATCCTCTTTATGAGAGACCTGGATTGAGTTCTTGGCTCCCAGCCTCAGCTGGCCCTGTCCTGGCTGTTGCAAGTATTTGGGGTATAAACCAGCAAATAGAAGAGCTGTCTGTCTCTTAATTTAAAAATTAAAAAAAAAAAAATCCTCAAGCAGGTGGCATGACAAAGAAGTTCCAGATCTACCCCGGAGGTGAGGAGTGGGTGGCAAGTCACTGTGAAGCCCAAGGACAGCAAAGGGACAACCTATACTGGCAAGGGGAGCTGCAGCAACAGAAAGGCTGATCCACAGGGCTGCCCAGCTTACCCCCAGCTGACTTGGTCCAGGAGAGGTGTGTGTGTGCTGGAAGCTCCCCTGACCTCCACAGGCATCCTCCTGCAAGCGTCTCTCCCCCAGCAGAAGAAAGTCCCTCTTCACTGTTTCTGGAGGCCATTTACACCATCTCATTCTGTTCCTCCAGAGGCTTCCTGTGGTGCTCAGGGAGGAGGGATTTTCCTGCCGCTGATGTTGCCTACAGGATTGCAGCCAGCCCACGTGCCAGCCTGCAGCCATTGCCCATGCTGCTCCTGCTTCTCTGCCTGCCTTTGGCAGAGCTACCTCACTCTCACCACTCCCAAATTACTCAGAGTCTGTGTTGCTCCCAGCTTGTCCATCTCTCCTTATCCTGTTTTATGTAACTCTTAGCACAATTTGCATTTTATTCATCTGTTTATGGAGTTCCTTATCTGCTTCTCCTTACACTGGTTTTTGTGCGGCGCTCTCTCATTTCCCCAGTGCCTGGCACAGGGCAGGGCACATAATTGGGGCTGCATCAGTGAGGACTCAAGCGGCACGTTCCTGCTCCCCACTTCTCTCCATGCCTTACCGGTTCTCTCTCTGTCTCTGAATATACTTCCTCTTTTTCGTCTTGATCCCAGTATTTCCTCAAGTTATGCCTCCACTTCTTCTCATAACCCCCATATCCCTTCCTACTCCCCAGCAGTGGCTTCAACCATCCCCTGTCCGAAGGACCTTGCTCTTGCAAGTCACCAGAATCCTCTCCGTCACTTTCCTTTGCTGCAGAGGCTCATGCTGTCCGGCATCCTGACATTCCTTCCATCACAGCGGTCGATGGAAGCAATTGTGTTAACTTGAAAGCTCATGGGAACTGAAGTGAGACCCGCTGAGTTTGAAGCCATTTTCTAAT